CCCTCCACCTCCCACCAGGTTTGTCTCAACTCCCCACTGCCTGACGCCTCCCCAGGATGCTGCACGTGGACCGGCGCACCCTGCAGAACGCAGTGCGGAACATCCTGGATGGAGAGCTGCTGAACCGCTACCTGTACCTGAGCACCATGGAGCGCAGTGAGCTGGCCAAGAAGATTGGCACCACGCCAGACATTGTGAGCGACCCCCCACCTCCCTGCCCCACCTCACCCCATCTCACCCCATCCCTCACCTGCCCCTCTCCCCACAGATCCTGGATGACTTGTTAGAGACGGACCGAGTCACTGCCCATTTTTAGACCCCTGGATACAGCCATTGCCCCAACCCCTTTTTGTACAAAACACAGGAAAAAGATTTGTTTGGTTTGAGAAATATGTGTGGTCATTGCAGGGCCTCCTGGCCCTACCACTGGTCAGAGTCCCCAGGCATCCCCCCCACTCCAGGTGACAGTTGCTCCAGTGTCCCAGGTCTTGGGGTGTCCACATCTCCAGTCCTGCCTTGGGGACCTAGGTCTCCAGGTACTCGTATAGTCCCTCAGTCCTGGGCATGAGGTCCAGGTGCACCAGCACTCGAACCAGGAGGGCAGTAAGCCGCATGGACAGGGTCTCCAGCCTGGGGTGAAGGGGTGGAGGGGTTGCAAATCAATGGGGAGCAGGCCCTGGCCTCCCACATGCCTGCTGGGCCCCAACTATCCACTCACCTCAGGGCCACTTCAAATTTGAACGTCTCCCAGACAACCCTGACGCGACGCAGGAGGCTGGTGCCATAGACACTCGGGTGCGCTGAGCCTGCCAGGCGGCTCCAGCCCCTGACAGCACTGCCAGAGACATGATCAGCCCAGCCCCATCCCACACCCACACCCACCTCCACCTGGGCTCCCCACCAGCACCCACCTCTTTGCCATGAGGAAGTAGCGGTCTACTGGGGCGCCAAGGGCGGTATTGATGGCTCGGACAGTGTTGATGTTACGCAGCACAAGCAACATGGGCCGAGGCAGGGCCTTAAGCACAGCCATGATGTCCTCAAAGTGTTCCCGTGCCATGGCCTGCATGTAGGCTGCCTCCTCTCGGCTCAGCAGGTGTGAGCGCCACAGCTGCCCCAGGCGCACAGGCCTCTGCATGAGCACCTCCGAGAACAGGAAGTAGTCTGTGGGGGCGGGGCTGAGCCAGGCTGCGCACCTGCACACCCACGCGCACATGCCCGAGCCTCACCTTGCACCCCAAGTGTTGCTGCGTGCGTCTTCATTGAAATGTCGTCTCTCAGGATGATGGCCCGCCACAGTTGGCACAGGGCTGCGCGGTCCCTGTGGGGCCCAGAGTGAGCCGAACCACAGGCAGGAAAGGCCAGGCCCAGGCCCAGG